GCTCGGAGCGAATCGTCGGAGGTGCAGTTCAGAATCACTGCGAAGTTGGCGAGGCCCGACGTCGCATTGGCCTCCTTTGTTTCAAGGGGAGGAACTCTGCAATCAGAATTTCCCGTCACATGCTTGTTCTCAGTCTCTTAGTGGACATGTTTTCCTCAACTTGGGGTCTTCCGGACAAAGGGGAGATTCATTAATTCAAATTCCCCCGCGCCGAATGGCGGCGTCTGAGGATGACCTGATCAACTGGACGGTGGCCTCTCTATGGCTCAGCGAGAGCCGTATCAAGGACCTGGCCCAGGCCTTTTGGGAAGGGATTCGGATCGCTGAAAGCTCCAAATGGCTGTGGGTCAAAACCAATGGGATCCCATTTTGGGGTAGGTGCACCACCCATTTGAGAACCTATTTTGGTGGGGATTGGGATGTTTACTGGGGGTACAGGATGTTGACCCATGGCCAAATGGCTGCTTCAGCAATTGGATGAATCGCTTGCCACTAAACCTGGCGTTTGCTTGAACGCCTTTTTTGCTTTCAATGCGTTGCTTGCTGCTTTGCCTTGCACTGGCTCGTGTTTGCCCGCGGGTGCGCTTGCATTTGCTTGGAATTGCTTGCGTTGCTCGAGCTTGCTATGCTCGAGCTTGCTATGCTCGAGCTTGCTATGCTCGAGCTTGCTATGCGTTGGCTGTGTTTGCTTCATCATTTGGCACACTTGGACATGATAGATCTTTGCTCGAAGACCTTTGTGCTCGCATACAGGACTGAAACTTCGGGAGCTATACTTTTCGTAGCCGCACTTTCCTGGCCTCAAGCTGTGAAGCTGCATGGGGTTGTTTCAATCAGAGGGTGATGCATCAATTTACCCAACAGCAAACTTGTCTTTTAGCTGTTGGAGTTTTGTTTCATTTGAAAGGAACGATTGAACCATTTTGCAGGGCTTGATTTGACCTAGCCACCTTGACAGGGACGTGGGTCGACTTCTTCTTTGCAAACCACCGCCTTTTTGCAATGCAAACTTGGCAAGGAAAAACAACTTCAGCCCAGTCACATGACACAGGCTGCCAGGGTTGCTTCGTTGAATTAGCTCTGATGCTCATGCGCCTGCTCAGAGGATTTAATGGGCACAATTCGGACGCTTGTTGAGGGAACGGTGAACATGACCGCAGCACACGTGGGCATCCTCTGCCCCGGCGCGCGCGAGGTGCTGCGAGGAGTGTCTCCAAAGCAGCTGGAAGACATGCAACGCCGGGGCAGCCCAGGGGTTGAGGGTCGGCTCGCAGTTCCTTCAACGGGCTGAAAGCATACAGAATCCTTGGCTTTTGACCCTTGTGATGCAGGTGAGGCTTTGAAGAGGGGATTCAGCCCAATTGCCACATTCCTCCGCAGGACAGCTTCATTTACCATACCGCCAGTGTGTCATTCAAGCAGACAGCCACATGGGCGTGCATGGCTCTCAGCTTTCTCACAGGCGGCCGGGACTTGATTCACGTTCACACTTGCCAGCCCATGCAGAAGCAGTAGGCCTCACTAGGCCAGAGTCTCCATCCATTTCCCCGCTGCCTCAAAGCAAGCCAGCGGGCGATATGCTGGGCGCTCCGAGCGGAGGACCGGTCGGGGAAATCGGACATCGCGTGGGCTCGGTCGACCCGCAAGACGTCAGGAGGCTTCGGAGCCTCGCAAGGTCCCGGCCACCTGGAGTCCATTGGTCGCCGCCCCTGGCTCAGCCGCCGCCGTGCTTCGCTTCCCTTCCCGGTTTCAAGTCGGAGCTCCCGGGTAATTACCGGGGCCGGGGCCGTGGAATAGCTCAAACCCATCCGGTGATCTATAGGTCCGCAAGTAGATCGTTGTTGTTGGGAAACATTTTGCATTTTTGCTTGTTGCGGTTTAGTGGTTGAAATCCCCACTTAACTGCTAAAAAGCAAATTTTTGCTCCCGTTCCAACGTCAACCAAGAGTAGATCCCGAGCTGTTTGTTTTTTCTTCTGGGAAACGGTACCACCGGGATCATCCCGAATACCTCAAACCCATCTGGTGATCTAAAGGTCCACAAGTAGATCCCCCCCAAGTAGATCCCCCCCAAGCTGCTTTTTTTTGGGGGGGAGCCAGATCAAGCCTTATGAGCTGAGGTTGGGAGCTACACCCGGAGGAGCACCGGAACCTGCCCCCCACGGGCCTGCCATCTTCTGCTTCGGGGGCCCGGGGCCCCGAAGCCGAAGCGCGGATGTGGCGAGGGAGAAGTGCGGCGATCTTCTTGAAGCTCATCGCTGAGGCCTCGGCGCCGGGGTCCTTTGGCTCCCAAGCCTCCGCGCAGCCGCTGCTGCAGGCTCTGGGGAAACAGAAGTGGATGTGTCTTGGCCAAGGGACCAGCACTCCCCCGACAAATATATATATATATATACACATATATACATATACATATATATATAATATATATATATGTACACATATATGTATATATGGTGGATTTCCTTTTGGTTCCCTTCAGACTAAACCAAAAAGGGTACCCTCAAAACAAACTGCAGTCCGGGTGGCTTTGGCTTCGTGTGCAGGTGCCTTCCTCAGTCCCGAACGCCTCGTGGACTGGGGGGCCGCCGGCCAGTGGTGGCAATGTCCGCATCTCCGTGCCGCGCTTGATGGACGACGGCCGCCTGGGGCTCATCATCCAGAACTGCTGGGAGCCTTGGCGGCGACGAGCACGGAGCGCCTGAAACGCGAAAAGCGCGAGAGAGAACGCGCGGAGAGTTTGTTTGCATCGCCAGACGACTGCGCGCGACGTCGTGGGTCGCATCGAAGGTGTCCTCCATCAGCAACCCCACGGCTGCGCAGTTCGGCTGGCAGGCGCGCTCGACCACTTAGACATATGGCACGTTTGAAAGCCCAACTTTAATCCCTGGGAGTATCAAAAACAGCGAGCACGTGCCGATCATCATTTCTGAGGAGGTGTGGCGTGCGGCCGACTTGGACATTGCCTAGATGCCTTGTTTTGCGGGATATTTTTATGGGTCCGAATGCCACGCGATGCCTTCGTTTGGCCTGAGTCTTTGCTGGTCATGTTCTCCTGATCTTTGTCAGGTGGGAGATCACATCCTGCAGGTGAACGGCCACCCGGTGTCGAACATGCAGCAGCTTTCTGAGGAAATCAGGCGCGAGATCTAGATCCGCAGCTCCTTCGCGGTACATGCCCTGGCTGGGGGGTTGGTCATGGGCTGATGTGTTGAAACCTAAGTCAAAGAGACTTGGCTTGAGATGCGCAGGCTCGCACCGCGCGCAACGCAAGCAAGCTGTTGCTCTTTTACAATCTTAGAGTCACACCTGAGCAAAGTCCACATTCGACAGGCCCCTTGTTGCTTCGCATATTGGGGTAACCGTGGCTGCGAATTCTCTGGGCTCCACTTGCCGCGCTCATTGCACCAGTCCAGCGATGTTTTCGAGGCGAGCTGTGAACTCGCACCAGGCGGGTGGTGTGGTTCCTCACACGACAGGTCGACAGGGGCTCCCTTCCGTTTTGATTTTGAATGAACATACTTGCGTTGCTCCTTTCAAGAAGCTCAAGAAGGGAGGACCATTTTTTTTTAAAGGAATTTGTTTCGACCCCTCAAGAAGCCAGCAAAGCCATCTCGGCTCATTTCTGCCGTGATCCTGGCCATCACACACACACACACAAAAAGCTGGCAGCGAAGCCCAACGTCCACGACTCGCAAGCGGCAACTGCCCCTTCGGCGCAGGCCGTGGCGCACCCCCTGGTCTTCGACGTGTGGCGTGCCTCGCCGCAAGCGCTGTCCGCTGCAGCGGCGGCCTCCGGCGTGCAGCGGCGGCAGAAGATGGCGCCTTGCGCGATTTTTCGCGCGGCGGGGGTTCGAGGGATTGCCAAAAGTTGTTTCAGGTGCCTTTTTTTTTTCTTCTTTGCATGCGAATGGCCAACTGCCATCTGCGCCATCTTTGTTTATCAAGCAGTGTTTGTTCCAGCGAGTCCAGATGAAACACATGGGTTCCAGGTGGCGTTTGCAAGGTTTCAATTGGTGCTCGTGTCATGGTACAAGCTCATCCAGCGGTCCATAGGCAGCGTCGGTTTCATCAGCATCCTGAGGAAGTGTAATTAGTTGGCTGTTGAAGCTTGAGGCAGTTGTCTTTTCCCCGCTCGAGGCATGCTGCGATTGGGATGCTTGCGGTGTGGGGGCTCAGTTGGATGTGAAGTCGTCTTCCCCAGTGGCTGGACAGAAGTGCCCTTTCTGGCTTAGCTTGGCTAGAAATAGATGGTGTCCACTGGTTAGATGGGTTTATGTCCATTTATCAGGGACATCCATTTTCCGAAAGGTGGCGTGTGGTGTGGCAGTGGTATGGTCAAAAGCTGCAGTTTCTATTGTGAGGAACAGAAACTCAGAGACTTGGCATTTGGACGGGGAGAGTGTCAGGGCTCAAGCAGCTACCGCGTCTTTGGGGCCCCTGGTCGCGTTGCAGTTTAAAACTGCAACGCCAGAGTTGAAAGTTCTCAATGACCTGCCAGATTGCCTGGGCAGCGATCCCGTCCTGGCCTCAAAGTGAGCGTGAAAGCTCCCGGCGCGAGGTGCGCTTTCTCGGGGATTTTGCACAAACCACGGGGGGGTCTTGAAATTTGGCGGGAAGCTCGCAAGGAACGGAGGGGCTCTGAGCATTTGGACGGGCGCTGATTGGAGAGTTTCCTTAGGCGCCTACGGGCTATGCCCCCTCGCCCGCCTACGGGGCGCAGGGCACTGGCTACGGCACACCCAATCCTGGCTATGGTGCGCCTCCCAGCGCGGCCTATGGCGCGCCCAGCGCGGCCTATGGCGCGCCCAGCGCGGCCTATGGCGCGCCCAGCGCTTACGGCGCGCCGGGCGGCGCACCATGTGCACAGGCTGAGTGACACTGGGTGCTGGCATTGCAGTGATTTCTCATAGGATGTCCCCTTCGGTTTCCTGAAAGCAGTGTGGAGGGGCCTCATGCCTTCGGAGCTATCTAATTTGAACAGGTCTCCTTAAAGGATACATTTTGACCATTTGAAACATGTTGCTTTTTCCACCAGCATAAAGGGAAACCGTTGCAATGTTCAGGTGTTTTTCATGCATCCGGATCCCTGTTGAAGGTTGACTCTTGCGGCTTTGGACCCAAAAGCCTTGCAGTGGGGTTCCAATGGCTGGCATCCTTTGCTCACGGAATGCAGGCGGGTGCGCAGAGACGCCGCGCGCTGTGCTGAAGGAATGATCCTCTTTGCTGTGCGAAGCGGTTTCAGCCAAGGATGGATTCGCACCGGAGTGTGGTCTCAGAAATCTGTGCCTAGCATGCACAAAATTTCATACCGCTGCCCAGGGCGGATTCAGTTGGCCAGTTGGACATTTTCTGTGGCCTTGCCCATGAGGCCAAAGTGCTTCGGCTCCCGCTGAGTTTTGGCTAATGCCATGTGCGGATGTATTTGGGACAATGCAAAACGACAACGCCCCATGCTTTGTCTCGGGGAATCAGGCCTACGTCAGTTGCCCGGATCGAGACACTTGAAAGCAAGAACCACCATCGGCATGCTCCATCTAGGATCTTGGTGACGCCCCACCCCACCCGTCGCACCCCTCCACCCCAACCGCGTTTGAGGCCACCTGCCGCAGTTGGCGCAGGCCCTGGATTACCACAGCACCTGCTTCCACGCCTGGCCGGCGTGTTTTCGGAGCTCCGACATCGATCTGAGAGGTATTGCTTGTTATGTGAGACACAAACTGAGGATCCACCTGGCAAGGGAGCAAGCGAGTCTGACCATCCAGCTTGATGAGGTGACCCCTGTAATCCACAGGCTTGTCAAATGGCGAGGCCAGCAAGGCATGCTTCATTGGCAGTCGGCATGCCAGCACTGGCCCTTTTGTTGGGGGAAACCGCGAGTCCTGCAGAGGCACAGCACTCCAAAAAGCTGGGGGAAGCTGTGGAGGGTTCCAGCCAGAAATTGAGGAGCATCCATTTTTTTGAGCACTGGTTCTTCTCTTCACATGCCTTAAAGCCTGAACTCCTGACCCTTCCATAAACAAAACGGAGAAAGAAAAGCGAAAGCGGGCGGGGAGAGCATTTGTTGGCCGCTCCAGGTGCTGCTGCTTGCTGCCCTGGCCGCCTCGCCCCAAGGCGATGACACCAGACTTCGAAGCCAAATCGTGAGAGCCACTCGCCAATGTAAGCTGTGGTCAAAACCGTTTTGGGATCCCAGCTTAAATTTTGGGGTGGGTGAATTCACCGCCCATTTTAGGTTACCTATTTTGGAGCACCGCCCGTTTTAGGTTTCCTATTTTAGTGGTTGGATTGAATCGAATGTTCACTGGGGGTACGAGTTGGATTTTGACCCATGGCCAAATGGCAACCAACACACGCTGCATGATCTTTGATGTTTTCTGCATTGTCTATGGGAACAGAAGCCGGCCGCTCCCCTGTTTTGACTGGCTTTCATTCGAGGATTTGAGTGGCCTGAAGCTGTAGCATCCCAAAGGCTGGACCCTGGCTTGAGGATGGACGAAACATCCCAAAGGCCAAGGAAGATCCGGAGGTACATTGCGAGTTTGGAATGTGTTGGTGCAACAAACTGGGAAAAGCGCTTTTGTAAGCGCTGTGCGGCGGGTGAGTTTGCCAAGCCGGATGGAAAAAGCGATACATGGACCTGAAAGCGGCAGGAGCTGTTTCTGTGCTCAGACTCCTAGGCCCGCCGCGGCAGATAGATCGGCCGCAGGTGAACCAAAGCGGGCGCCCCGAGGGTTTGCGGCGGGGAGGACTTAAGGGAAAGCCAGGGGTTTGCGGGGTGTGCCAATCTTGAGCAGCGCATGGCTTCAGAGGCGGTAGCTTACGAGTGGACTTGATTTTGGATTCGATCGGCTGACAAGAGCCTGGGCAAGAGGCTCTTTGTGGACCTAGTTGCCAGCTTCGACTCGATAGTCCTGCCATCGCTGGGCAGATGTAGTGGCTTCAGGGGAAGAAGGAACCAGTGTTCATTTGAAATGGTTCAACCTCACGCAGGTTAAAGGTTGGTTTTGCCAGCGTCCATGTTGGGTATTTGTGACACACAGCCATTTGACAGAGACAGAGAAATCAACCAAGAGAGCCTCATGGAGATGGAGTCCCAGGTTCAGTCCGGGTTCAGTCACGGCGCATTCGTCCCCGCCTCATGGGCGCCGTTTCGGCCTACTGTCGCGCCTTGGCTTGCGTAAAGCAAAGATTTTTTTTTGCACCGAACGGGATGTCTTCCGTTGCTTTGAGAGTCATTGTGGCTCTGGGACCTCGTTTCTCACGGGCAAAGTGGGCTCCCCGTGGCTTTCTGCACGCACTGTGGCTGAGAATCAACCACGGGCACTTTGCAGATAGGTGACAATGCGCTCATCGCTGCAGCTTGCAGTGTGGAGGCAGGAGCTGGCCGAGCTGCCACAAACGCTGCGTATAGTTTTTCAAGCAGCAGAGTTGAGGCCTGAGAGTGATAAAGCATTTGCACAAACGCTTGGTGCCAACCATGAAAGCCTCAGACTGTCGAAGGAGCGCTACAGCCGTGGATGTGAGACCACATGACAGTTTGTGAGTCGACAGATGTTCAAGCTTTCGGCAGCATGACTTCCGCTCGAGTTGTAGGCCAAAGCAGTGGACAGCAATGCCCCCGGCGCGCGCCTAAGGGATTTGCCGGCACGAAGTCAAACTCCTCTTTTCTGTTAAGCGTAATGTTGGAAGGTGCTTCGCCTTTGCTGCTTTCAGGCCCATTATTTTTGCTGGGCCACTTTCAGGCAATGTGTCCCTGAAGCCATGGTCATCACGCGTGCAGGGAGGGTTGCAGACGCAGACTGGGGTTCGGCAAGTACAGGCAAGCTGATGCGTGTTCACGAAACTTAGATCGGCGATCCATGACATTCTTACTGGATCTTGAACAGTTTTGCAGATCGTAGCTAGATCAGTCGAGCACCTTTATATTTTTTTCAACATCTACCGACCTGGCTACTTGGGCAGCTTCAGATCGTTCTGGTCGTCTCATGCAATGCATACCCAGTTCCATTCTCAATATGATGTACTTGCGTCCTTGTTTTCATTTTGCATTCTATTCTCATCTCATGGAGCCACCGGAGCCACGCTTGTTGACATTTGTAGAAGTCATCAGGATTGGCGACGATCTTTTGAAGCGAATGATTGAGGGAGAAGAGACAAGAGATGCCATCAGTTGTTGATTTCCCCCCCATTTTTTGGCCCATGCTTTAAGACAGTTGTAGTTGATGCCGTTGGAGGATATATGCAGACTGGAGCGGCTAGTCCTACCATCACGCTTTGACTCTTTGCCTTCCAAATCCTCAAATGGTCACCGGGAAGTGCCGGCTAGAAAAGCTTGCACTCTCCCATTTTCCAGCCCCAATCCAGCCCCGTTGTTTTCGGGCCTGGTGACGCACCCTTTCCACTGCTGCCAACCACAGGTCCGCGGGTGAACCGCGCCAAAGCGCACGGCGTCTCGCCGGATCCGGAGAACTTCCTGGGTCAGCACGTCAGGCGGGCCTTTTTCTTCTCAATAACTTGATGTGACTTGATGTGACTTGATGTTATTCCTGTTCGGGAGACTGGAATTTGCCATCAAGTATGAGAAGTGCTTTTCAATCGCACCTTATAAAGACTGACAGCAGTAGAAGCATTTGTGAGGTGATATGCCTCATTGCAATCCCCATGTTGTGCTGACTTTCTCGTGTGCCAGGAACTTCCAGCACACCTTGCACCAAGGTGACTGGGACGATTTCTCACGTTCTGCATGTTGCCCACGGAAACGTAAACATCATTTTCCGGACCTTCGTGGGTCTCTGAGATGCTTGTTGCGAGGTTTTTTTTTCTTGGACGGCATTGTTGAAGTGGAAACCGAGAGGCGGACGGACCGCCATCAGGACGCGCAGTTGCTTTGGATCCAAGGTGGCAGCCCCGCAGCCAGCCCGCGGTTGCCATGGACGGAGTCCGCTTGAGGGGAGGGGCTTTGCTCTCTGGCTATTTATTCTCAAAGGTCTGTTAAGAGGCTTCTCAAAATAGTGGTCCCCAAAATGGTTGGTGCCTGCTTGGTTTCCCTTTTGAGAAACCCTCGTTCGGGCCTTCTGCAACGTTTTAGGGAGGCGTTGTGAATCCTGGTCCATGCTCATACTCTTATTGTTGCTTGATGGCTGCGCTTGTCTTAACGAGCTTGTTTGCATGTGGCTTAAGGGGCCTTTCTGCTCCGGCTCTAAGTGGGCCTTGCAGGTTTCTACCTTCCAGTTTGCCCCCTTGCCCGCGCCTGCATGTGCGCACGCGAAGCCGCCTCCCCTGGCGCGAAGGAACCGCGAGATTGAGGCACCGGCTGAGCCAGGCGCGCAGACCTGGGTGCAACTAATGCGGAAGAGAACTTGTTCATGCCACTTGCTTCCTGGGTTAGTGAAACAGGCAGGCACCCCGACGAAACTATTCCAGTATGACATGGACCATTTGCGGTGGACATGAGGGTCCAACTCTCGCACTCTAGCCATGTGGTATGGTCAAAGAACCGGTTCCCGTACCTGGGGTGGCAGTGATTGTCATCTACCTGGTAAGAATCCTTACTGACCCCAGGAAGCAGTTTGGCCACGTGGCAAGAAGTTGTGGCAAGAATTTGGGTGCCCTTTTTTCCCCAAGAGACCCGCAAGGAATTGGGCGGTTTTCCTCTTGGTACCAGATTTCTCACACAAACAAATAGCCACAATCCCCCCCCCCCCATCAAAGCTAGCAAACAAAACCGCCGACTACCACGCCCTGATTCCACCCCAACCCACTCTCCACCTCACCCCCTACAACCCGTCGAAACACCTGGCCACTACCCCAACCCCCCCGTCCACCCCCCCCCCCAACCCTCAAACCAGTCACGAAGGGCCCCATCCCCACCTAACCCTGCCCAGACAACCCCCGCCAACCAACCAGCTACACCAACCGCACCCCTCCATTACCAGTCTACTAAGACCAGCCAACGGAAACAAAAAGACCGATAACACAAAAAAGCCCAAAATAACCCGATCCTCCTACCCCCATAGGAATCGCCCTCTACAACCAAATCAACTAAACATACAATTAAGAGAAATTCACTGAACCCCCCCCCCCCAATCCCCCATCGCAATCCCCCATCGCCCCCCTCACCTACCCCCTAGACCCCACCCCCCATCCCCTCACACACCCCTCACCCCCCCCCCCCCCCACCGAGTTCTCGAGGCCCCGCGGCGGAGCTTTTGACCGCCGCGCGGCTCTGTGACGGTCCCGCGCTCGCGGCGGCGCTGTTGGCGCGGGCAGATGTGAACTGCAGGAGCCGAGGGAAGGGCCGGAAACGACGCCGGCTGTTTTTTTTTTGTTTTAATCAAATGAATTACAGTAAATAAACAATGTTATATTTTTGTTGGACCGTTGGAGCCCCCCTAAACAGTGGGGTTTCCCTTTTTAGCTTCCCTTTTGAAGGAGAAAAAACAAGGTAGCCTCAAAAAGAAGGCATGATCCAGATCTGAGAATCAAGCGCAGAAACGCCCAAGGCTGCGAGCTCACAATCTGAAGGGGAACTGCATCGGACGAAGATTTGACCATGTTCCAGTGCCCAGGACTTTGCGGGGCAACACTCCGCTGATGCTGGCAGCCTCTGCACAGACACTCGGAACAGAAGTGGACAGCAGTGGCTTTGATCAGGGTTCAACTTTACGATGGGCAGAGTGCCAGTGGCAGCTCTTGGGTGGTCTGCATGGGGGGTCGATTGCTTTACCAAACTCGGCTTTCGTCTAAACTAACAGGGAAGATGTCCCCGAGAGACACTTGGGTGTGGCTCAAATTTAAAGAGCCAGGGTTACATGGTTTTCGTCTTTTCCATTTACCAGGGCAACCCATTTTGGGGTGACCAAAATTTTTGACAACCACCGCCACTTGTTCCCTGTCTCAGGAAGCATTCTGTTGACATGGTGCGTGAGCTGTTGGAGGCAGGAGCGGAGGCGCGCGGGCTCCCACCCAGAAAGCGTTTGGCAAATGGGTGTAGCGGTTTTTTGAGGAACCCCCGCTCTTTTGTGTCGTTTTCAAAGCTTCGGACACCAAAAGGACAACCACAAGTTTAGACAGGTCTCTTGAGAAAGACCCAACAATGATGGTTTTCCCCTTTTGGTTCCCTTTCAGAGCAACAAAACAAGGGTACCCGGGAAAAAAGAAAAAACCACCCAAATGGGCTGGCGTTTGTTCAAAGCAAATAGAATGTGTTTATAGCGCCCTGTTTCGGCGTTTCTGTGGTGAGGAGTGCTTTTCGGGATGGTTTAGGTGATTTGGGTGTCTGTTTTTACGCCAGAAACGTTTCCGCAGCCCGTCCGAAACAGATGGAGAGCGTGGACGAGAAGGGCTGCACCGCTTTGATGCATGGCTGCGGCAACGGGAACACGGCGGCGGTGGATTTGCTGCTGGACCGGAAGGCTTCGTTGCAAGGCGGATCGTGGTTGCGGATAGGCTTTGGGGTTCAAATGGGTGTGGCTCAAAACTAAGCAACTGGGGTTACGCGGGTTTTGGTCTACCTGTCCATTTACCAGTGTTCCATTTTGGACCCCCATTTTTGAGCCAAAGCCGAATGAGTGTCTCGTTTCTGAGGTTGGACCCCCAAAATGGTGGTTTTCATTTCGGGTTTCCCTTTAAAACCGCAAGAGCAAAAGGGTCCCAGCTTAAAAAGAAACAGACCCAAACGGGCCGGAGCCGAATGGCCGATGCCGCGAACTTGGGAAGCCAAGAGGAGCTTGAAGTAGTCCCATGCCACAGGAAGGGACCGCGATGGTAAGACTTGCCTCATGCTGGCCTTCGTCGGCACCGAGGATATTGCTCTCATCAGGCTGGGACGTGTTGCTACTTTTCGTGCCTGATTTAAAGATGCAACGGCTGGCATGATGCATACCCTCCCACCAATTAATCTGGAACCTGAGGGGGCTCCTGGAAGAGCATTTTCCTGTTAAAGGGACCCCCTGTCGTTAATTGCTGGGAGGGCGCATTGTACGGCAGTCACGTGGGATGGATGGCACATTTGCAAGAGACAATCAATGGGCTCAACTTGTAAAGCTTATCATTGGTCCTTCTTCATGTTCCATGCCACCCTTCCTCGCACCCGACTCGTGCGAGGCACTTGGTGCATCGTGGGGCTTCTATCGATGACAAGGACATGGCTGGTTGGTCGCTACTGTTTTATGCCTGCGAGCACCAGAACTTGCGCCTGATCAGGCACACATACCAAGGGCGCCGCTTGATTGTCTGGTTGCAAGATGGAGACATAGTCACCAGTCACCAATCCAAATTACCCTGATTGTGAGGGTTCATGCAAAGTGCGCCCCGGCGTAGGTGCTTTCCAGTTGTGCTCACCAATCTAGTCTCATTTGAGCCAGGGCCAATTCCAACCATACATAGGTGAGGCCGTCTAGCTTCTTCTCATTGGGTACCACCATTTTGATGCCGATGGGTTTTGATTATGTGTGGGAAGGGATCCTGGCAGGTGGCTGTGGAGCAAATTCCACGTGGACCTTGAGGATGCCGCTTTGGATGGCCTCACCCCTGCGGAGATGCTGCGGCGCCAGGGGTGGCTGGGACGATTCGAGGGTCAGATTTTTGCATCCGGGCGCGTCTCGTTTTTTGTGAACTTTGCAAAACAAATTCGTGGTCTCCCTCTTGGTTTCCCTTCAAAACCCACCCAGGAAGCGAGGAATTCCAAAGGAGCCGAGCCACCCCTGCGATACATCAGGTTCGGTTTTCCCTTCAAAAGCCACCAGGAAGCGTTTTTTTTTTTTTAAGACTCCAAGGGAGCCGCGCCACCCCCGCGATACGGTTCGGGCATGGGACGTCAGGTTTGGGCAGCCCCACCGGTGGCTGGGGCCTTTGAAGCGCCCGGAGATGGATTACCTGCTGATCGACCTGGGCCTGAAGCGGGACGACTTGGGGCTTTGGGTTGGGTGCGCGGTGCGCGGAAGTCTCAGCGGAAGTGATCCGTGAAGTCCCCGAGAGAGACGCGTGGACACCACATCAAGCAATCAGGCTGCCAGACCCGAAGGTCTCCCCATAAGGGAGACGCGCGGGGTTTCCAAGTGAAGCCGTTAGACCCGCCACAGAAGCTGGGCAAGGGAACGCCCCAATTTGTGCGTGTGTTTTTCGATCTGTTCGGAATCCGCTGACCCTCCTTGCCTTTCGTGGCATTTCCGAGCCCCGCTCTTCCAGGAGGATGGCAGCCTCTCACCCCGCTGGGAGCAGGAGCCGCCGCCCCAGAATGCACTGGGATTCTGCTCGCATGATCCAATTTGCGGTTTTATTGATGTTTCCTGAGCTCATTTGGGTGTGTCTTTTTTGAGGTTGAACACCCCAAATGGGTAGTGTTCGTTTGGTTTCCCTTTAAAACCTACCCTCCACAAAAAGACACACCCGATTTGCTGTGCTACGGATGTTTCCGGAGCTCATTTGTTGATCGAACGTGAGCATCTCTTGAAGTTGAGGGGCCTGCGCGCGTCGCTGGAAGGCCAGGTGCGTATTGTCGGCGGGTTCGCAGCACTTGTTCTGCATGTAGTCTGAGTCAACCCGCCATGGCGTTGCGACTCACGCGTGGGTATTTCTATCCCAAGTTCTGGATGAGAAGCGCCTCAAGCAGCTTAAGAGTGAGGACCACCAGCCAAGTCTGGCCTCGCCTCTGGAGGTCTGCCAGGGCTGGGAAGCCGCAGGTCCTCCAAGGTGGGCTGGGAGAGTGAGAGTGGCTTCACCTTGGGGTTGCTTCGCCATGTCCTGACATGGCCTCGAATTGCCTGGGTGTTGGGCCTTTCGCATCCTTCGCCATGTTGGGCATTTCAAGGTCTTGGAAAAAGCTCACACACCTCGGTGTCTTGTTGGTGAACCTAAGTCGCGTTGTGTGTGCAACTTGTCAGGAGCAGGGGTCCAGGAGATCCAGCAAAGGCGCGGAAATGCGCGAAATGCTTCGAGGATGGACACCAACGTCCCAAGCTTCCTTGCACTCTAGAAGCAACAGGTGGTAATGGACACAGAAAGGCTGGCATAAAGTACGAGACACGGCTTTGATTCCCCAGTTGAAATGATCAGCAGGGGGGAACCCGGGCAAAAGCTGAGGCTCCAGGAACCGAGTGGATCTCTTCCCCTCTAGCGGGAGGGGTAGGTAAATACCCTCTTGGGTCTTGTGACAGCTGGAAGGGTTGCCCATTTCACAAATCTGAAGATGTCACGGCTCAGTAAATGCAATGGCATACCGGCCCATGTCGGAAAGTTCAGCTTAAAAGATTGCCTGCATTTCTATAGCAAGTTCTTCAAGCCCTGGTATCACTGCGACCTGGAACTGGGTCAAACTTATCGGTTGCAGTAACGAAGCGGGTTTCCAAGTCTTCGCACGATTCGAAGGGCGCAGCCGGGAGCACCATCACGCCATAATGCGGCAATCGCGAATAAGACTGCACTCATTTGGATCCAGTCGATTTGAATGGCCACGAGGAACGTTCGACTGCAGGGGTCCTTGGTCCATTTGGGAGCCACTCAGACACGCTTCCATGTCGGAGGGAGTGTTTTGCGGTCGGCTGGCCAGGTCTGGCGGAGCCGCGAGAGCGGAAGGGCTCCAAGGCCAGAGCGCCGCGGCCAATATCGTGGATGGTTGCGAAATGCGATCGCGCCGAACGAAATGAAAAAGAATGGTTGTAACGATTTGTTGTTTCATTATTATCATCAAATTATGCATGTTTATATTCTTGGGGATTATTTCCATTTCTTGGGTATTTACAGGAGAATCATCTTCCAAGATTCCAGTCTTTCTTAGGTGCCGGAGGGTTTTTGGTGGGTCTTTTTCAGGCCCGGGTTCATCAATCTGCTGGTTTTCCCCAAGTGAACGCCCGATTTTCCCACGCACCGCCAGCGCTCCTCCGGGACGTACCCACCGCGCGCGGGTGCGAATTCCGCCGCTTGCCGCAGAACTCGCGGACTTCATCCAGGCGCTCCAGCAAAGGCCGGGAAAAGAGGGGAGGGAGCCAAGAAGCCACCGGCTGGCGGCTGGCATCTGTCTGTTCATTCATGGGCGCGTGGGTCATCTCCGCTTCGGCTGGACTGGGTGAAGTGAGGCCGCGGTTTGGAGCTGGGGCCATGTTTGCGTCTCTTTGTTGGTGCCCCAAAAACATGGGGTGGTTTTTTACAGGAACCAG